AGGAATTTCTAATTTATTTCATTTTATTTCTGATCATTCCTATAAATTTTATAGTTGCCTACTTATCTAACAAGAAACGACACTTTTTCTAACAGCCATAGAAAAATACTTCAACATGATGTCTTTTTTCTTTACACAAAATCAAAATTGATTATGAGTTTCAAGGAAACATTTCGTGAATAAAGATGTCAGTGCAGTCCCATTAGAAATTGATCACCTTGTAGAGGGAGTGTCTCATATTCACGAAAACGCGTATAATTCACCGTCCGAAGCTAAATTGAAAAAAGGACTTGAGAGCTTCCATTCTCCCCGGGCCGTACGTTTCGAACACAGATATGATTCGTGTATTTTATATTGACTTCCCCGATTTTCATAATCTGGTATTCTGAACCAGCGTGAAGAGTCTCACGTACGAATTTATAGCCTCAAAAAGGACATTCAGTTTCCAGGCACGCTCCAGACAAAAATATACCACTCCTTATCCGGATATTTCCCTGATAACGTTTAATTGATGTCAGACAACCACCAAGTGCGTATTCTGTTAATTGATGGGTCTGGATTTCCACCCCGTCCGTTAAAACTTTGTTCCCAACCGGAAATGTACGTACTGGAAATGTAATAAAAAGTAAAGTGGTCCGGAAGTTGGGAAACACATAACACGTAAAGACAAACGACCACATTTTTTTAAATTAGTAAGAAGTCGCATCCAGTCGACATCAACTTTTAATGCTCATCCTGCACTTTGGAGGATGTCACGGCTCTTAGGTTTTTGTTCAACTTTTTCTTTTGAAGTTAACGTTGAAGAGAACTCGGGGCCTATTTTGTATTCCAGAACAAAAACTCCACATTCAAGAAGTTCTTGAAATGATGGAACTGCGAAAGTAATAAGTTCTCAAAGATAAAGGGTCAAATTATGAATACTGTCCATGATAATTAGTATAGAATTTTCAGTTTCCAGGTACGTTCCAGACAAAAATATAATAAAAATTATAATAATGTTTATTCCGAATGAAAAATATATTTATACATAAAAGGAAAAGGGTTAGACAAAGGCTACCTTCCACTCCTCCCAAAAATTATACAGTGAATGTAAGAAAATAATTATAAAAATAGTTATTTAATATCATAACTATGATAGAGAAGAGAAAAAGATAATAGATCATATAGTTGCTAATAACTCTTAATATTCCTAACATTATTTTGGCCAGTTCAACAATTTCATTGCACTTCATACATTGCATTTTAAATTTCTCAAAATAGCACTGATCAGAAAGCATCTGTGATTTTATTTCTTTCTTGAATTGATTAATATTATGATTCAAAAGGGGTACAATTTCATTCAGATAAGAAGGGGCTATATAAGAAAAACATCTTTGAAATGTGGAAGTACGGTCAAATTGACCATATGTAAGTCAGAATGCCTGCTTAATAAACTATATAAATAACTAGGTGTTTTAGTTTGAAGCAACTAAAACAAAAAAAATTTGTATCAGATATTGGACTCTGAACCTCACATTCAGCTTCTTCATTTTTAACAAAAATGATGTGACATGTTCACCATATAGTATACAGCATAAGAATCGCATGTTAGCATTTTGTATACGTTGTAACTTCTGCTTGTTATATTGCGGCAAAAAATTGTAATACACCGAACAACAACACTCGATATGGGGGTAAATAAGAGTTTTACCTAACATGAGTTTCATTTTTTCTGATAACTGATACTTGAATTTATATAGCGATTTGAGTTTGAAGAATGATACTTCTACCCAGTCAATGTCTGCGATATCGAGAGTGAGCCCAAAGTTACACTGAGTTTCTACTATTTTTCTTTGAGACCCTATGCCAGTGGTCGCCAACCTCTTCAATGTGTTGAGCTACTTTGTTAATTTTGGAATAAACAGCGAGCTACCCACACGGAAGCCACGTAACGCAACGTAAATGAAATAATCCACAGTTAATTAATCATTATATGTATTTATTTTACTATTTAACTGGTAATACATAATACATGAGTACTAATAATAAACTAATAACAAAATAACTAATATTACTAGTACGTACTTGTTCATAGCTACATTCCTACCTATCNGCAAATAACGAATCAGCAGCTTCTAAAAACGTCTGTTTTATCATTTCCCCGTCTTCATAAGGTTTCTTTTTTTGTGCAATTATCTGTATCGGTGTTATTAGAAGACAAATATAACTGTATATCATCTGCGTATAGATGTACTTGACAATGTGATAAGAAAGTGGGGTAATCAAAAATAAACACTGAAAACATCAAGGGTCCTGAAATACTTCCCTGCGGTACACCTGAGATTGTTTCTTTTAGGGATGACCATGAGTGATCATCCAGTTTGGCCCTCTGCTATCGGCCTGTGAGATAGCTGGTCATCCATTTAAGAGAAACGTCAACGAATCCTATGAACTTGAGCTCGCTGATGAGTAAATCGAAATTAACTAAATCGAAAGCTTTACTTTGATCAAGCAGTACTAAAATAGTGACTTTTGATTGATCTCAGAATCTCGCAATATACCATTGCTTATCCGATATATCCGGATTTTTGAAAAGATATTGTAGAATAGTTTGATATACCAGTGACTGATAAAATAGTGATAAAGGATCTAATTGGTCTTCATCGAGGACTAATTAATGAATTCCTGAACATTGAATTCGGAACATCTGCCTGTTTTATTCCACCCAAAGGACAATGAAGACTTGCAATTGATATCATTGGATTATGTAGCGTAACACACATAATATCTATGTTTTATTGAATTTGTTTGCAGAATTATTTAGCAAAAAATAATCACCACTAGTTTTTCATAATCAAATCTGAATAAAATAGTTGCCTGCAATACTTCTTCAACTACTTGAACTCGTTCGGTCTGATTACCAGTATCAAAAAAGGTTGAGTTTATCTTAACAGATCTGAATAATTCATTTCAGCCGTGAATAAATGCAGATGGTTTCTCGAAGCGTTAATATTTTTTGTCCATAATCTCATATTCTTGGAATTATTATGGTAATCCTGAAAAAAAACTGGGAAAATAATCTTTCGCCTTGAAGCTGAATATTAAAAATGATTCCTGAAATGAGCCAGATTTGATGAAAAAACAGATGAATGGAATTTAAACAAATCAAAACTGTATGAAAGGTAGTGAATAAACATCACAAAACTCTTTACGCTCTGAGGATAGATTCAGAACGATACTTTCAGTTTTTATTACTTTCAATTTGAAGACCAGAAATTATCTGATGACAGCTCTCAAAATGATTTATCTAAAAGAATCAGTTTATCACTAAACTGGTACATTTTGTGAGATGAAAAGCGGGGAACCTTGAATATAATCCAACGCCCTTCGTGGTATTAACCAGGGAAATAGTTGTTTTCTGATAAGTATCAGTTTATTAACCTAAAGTATAGGTGAATCAAGACTGGCCTGAAGAAATTGTTCATTTAGTTAGTTCGGTTTGAGAAGGTAATCAATCTTTTACCACTCTCAAATTCATTTTCATGTAAAATTTCCTAGAACTGGTCGAGTCTCAGTTTTATGACTGTTCAGCGACCTGTTCAAGATAAACTTAGAACTCTTGATGTGGAATATAGTAATTTCTCTTCTGTTGGCGACCTGGACAATTGTAGAGACGTTCGAGTGGAAGGGAGATATTACAAAATTCACAAATGGAACTTCTCTATTCAAAATTGGCCGGAGTGTTGTACAATTCAGGGACGACTAATAATTGTGTGTTGCATAGAAGTGAGCTCGGTATATTTTTGCTTTTTAATACTGGGAATGATCTTTGGAAGTTCATATTGACTTAACTCTCCATGCAATTAGGAAAAATGTATTTAATCGACTAAATTAGTCTCTATGTTCAACGTTTTGTATCATTTTTATACCATGATTTGAATGGGAGTTTTTGTGCCATTATATCAACTTGCTCATTTCTGGTTATCCTGATGTGGGATAGATTCGAAACCAGTTGAATGTTCAGGAAAGAGCGATTGCCCTTAAAAATAACTGAATAACCAGCATTTCACCTTGAATCACTATAAATGTGATTGAAGCTCTTGGTTGCAGAGGGGAATAACAAATTTTCACGATATAGGGGTGGTTGGAAAAGTATATCTGAATTGACTGAGTTCAATATTCTGCAAACATGGGTGTGTAAAGAAGGAGGATCATGTGGATCATGATCAAGTGATTAGGAAATAGACTACCGTGAATGGTACCTCAAAAATCTTCGGGATAACAAGCAACCAAATCATAGAAATATATGTCTATCAGATATTCCTTTGCTGAAATTGCTGAAATTACAGTTGGGATCAAAGACAGACCGTCATCAGGAAAGAACAGAATAAAGTTGGCGTCCCGACTTCGAATAATATGCAGTAAAACTTTTACGATTTCCTAGCATGTCGTCGTATCACGAATGTTATGATATAATACGTGCACAGTAACTATCTGCAAGTCTCTGTCCGTACTGCGGAGGGATAGAATTCTCTAGAGGCCCTTACGACGTTATCGATATAAGCTACGGTGATGTTTTATTATTTACGAACAAAATGCCCAAACTCATTTCAGTGTATGTGCCATGAGTCTATATTCATAAAAATCAGTTCAGGAGCAAGTTGAGAGGTATTCTATAATGAACATTGTTTGAGAACACATTCGAAAATGATTTGAAAAGTGTTTTTGTACAGAATGGTTCGTCAAAAATGAACCAGAAGGCATAACTGCCAGAGAAAGAACTTTCCAAAATAAATCAAATAGATATATTACAAAGTTCTTCGTGGAGACCCACGCGTTTTACCCAAAAACCATTGCGAAACCATGTCTTTTCTCCTTTTGGAAATTGGTTCATTCGTTTAGAAGACCTAGAGCTCTGAAATACCAACAATATTTTCTCATCAATGCTGCAGTACATTCTTAATTCTCTTGGTGGAAAGATCATTGACATAGCTCAGATATTTTTTCCAAAATTTACTCACTTGAACAGTTTGGAGTTTCATCGCTTCCATCGGTGCAATCTTTTACGCCATTGCAGTAATTTTTTTCTGATATGCATTCACCATTTGCACATTGGAACTGGGCTCTTTTGCAAGACGGAAAAATGCTCCAAGAAGTTGTTACCAGTATCATTATGGTGGACAATTCCCAGAACCTGCAAAAGAAAATAACTGTCTATTTTTCAACAATTTCGAGATATTGCCTCTGTGAAAGAATCTAAAAAATATAGAAAAATATTGAATATTTGATATTGTTGTCGAATTAGGCCAGAATTAGAGAAGTTTGTGAATATAAAACCATAGTTATCAACTCTTTCTATGGAATCGCTACCAGAAAACAATAATCGGTAGAAATGGACAATTTTGTCGGTTCCCAAATAACAAAACATATCTTCATTGATTTTATTTTGCGCATTTGCTTCAAGGAACCGAAAGCTTCTCCAAGCGAATTTGAAAATCATTTTTCGTTTGAAATTTCGACACAAAAACAATGGATCATCGCCAACAAATGCCACAACTGCTTGAAACGCTGAAAGCATATGCCTGTTCAACTACAGATATTTCCGAAATTAATTTGTTCTAATTGTATTCCGATCAACTGCCATAAATTAGCAAAAAAGCTATTAGGTCACCCCGAAAATCTATCGGCATAAACAGCAATTTGAATAAATCGATTATTCGCATTCAATTCATCATAAACTCAATTTCCACACCTGAATAAAATCCATTAAATTTGTTCCAATCCCTTTTCGAATAGGAATTCACAATGGAAATCATTCGCGTAATGTCAAGGGAACTATGCCAAAATCGAACTCATTTAAATTTAATATAAACAAAACGGAAACCTATAATACCGCCGGTGGCGGTGTGTTCGAAATTCGGGCCGATATGAATCCAATTTCGAGGAAATACCAAACCTTGTCACCCCCAATATTTGATGATTAATTGCAATACACAAATATCTACGCTTTTTGTCTAATACAACTTTGAGGAGCGATGTTTATAGTTTATATCAAATTGATCCTTTGACCTATAGCCAACTCAGAATTTCCAAATTATATTTTTATATTATATATCTGACAGAAATCAAAAACTAATGAGAAAATCATCATGAATTCACATCAAGTATCAGCCATTTCACCCCTGAAGAATTCTTTGGTCTAAGCTTTTTGAATCGTTTCGTGTTGGTACAAAAATTCCAAAAGTAGAACACTAATTCATTGACTGAACGATTCAGAAAGGAGCACATTAAGAACTGAATATATATTCAGCTCCCATTAAACTTCTACGAAAACTCTCGCCGTTTGAAAGTTTTACTTCCTCATAAATTCTCATTATCATAATTATTCCAGTTCCGACGGCAAACAGTTTAGAGCAATCTTGAGAAGGCATTTGTAATTAATTCATATTGCAGAAAATTAGGATATTTCACAATAATTCAATTTTGTAAACTACTATATCAGAGAATTATGGTCCGACTTCGTAAGTTTTGTTTAATTAGTTTGAACTCTGTGCAGAGGAACGATAAAACAAAACTGAACTTTTCGTTATTAGAATATAAAATGAAAGTCCACAGAAAACTGAATATAATTTTTTGAGAATTTCTCCGAAAATAAATTACTCATATTCGACTTGGTTTGTTTCATGTCGTACTTATAACAGGTAATTTTTGTATAGTGACGACAATATATCAATTATATTAGACAATACAATCGTGAAACTAAAATACAATAATACGAATAAAACAATCAAGATAATAAATGAAAATAACCACAGATTGAAAAAAGAGATGGAATAGCTAAAAATGAGCAAAAATTGGAAAGAAATAAAAAAAATTAAAAAGATTCCAAACCAAGTTACTTCACGAGGTTTCGATTGCTAGCATCCACAATCATCTTCAGGTGATGACTGGACTAATTTCTCCGAGAGATGACTATACATAGGTCATTCAAGCGCTTTCACCTTTTCCCTCTTTTCTCAATCCACTTCACCAGTTTAACGGAAGTTGACCGTTTTTCCATTTCCATATGTTGCGTATCTCTACACTAGCTTGGATGAATGCGTCGTTGGACGCATATGTGCAGCTTCTTTGAACTTCCTCTTAAATCTTTTCGACCATTGCACAATGACAGGATACCCGGTAAATGCAATTCTTGGACTCTCAGGTTGCTACGGATGGTATTTCCGGATCTGAAGGAGGTTCTAATGTAGGACTTGGATCCAATTCTTTTTATACTTTCCGACAATCCTCTGATGTAGAAAAGAACCAGCACTGGTTGGCTCCTTTTCCTTGCGAGGTTTTTGCTGTATTCTAGCCAAAATTTGTTCTACCACCACTTTGGAGTAACCATTCCATTCAAGATTTTTTCTGATGATGCCTAGTTCCTTCTCGAGACCTTTCTTCGTATTACAGATCCCAAAAGTACGATTCACTAGAGTCTTGATGATTCCTCTTTTAGTAGATTGATGGTGGTTGGATTCGTGATTCAGATACTGTCCCGTGTGAGTGGTTTTTCGGTATACAGATGTTTCCTACTTAGTGTCGGTCCTCTTCACTAAGAATGGCAATTCGTTGTGGACTTCCTTCTCTATTGTGAAAGTGATGAAAAGTTTTACGCTGTTGATGTATTTCAGGAAGGCATCTAGTTCAGTATTCCCATGGTTCCATATTATGAAGGTGTCCTCAACGTATTTCAACCAGACTCGAGGCTTCTTCAATGGTCAGAGTTGGAAACCACTCCGTATATATGTTGGCTATTATTGGTCAAAGTGGGGATCCCATTGGCAGTCCTTCATCTTGCGTAAATAATTCGCCCTTCAGCAGTTTCGTACACAGAATCCTAGTAATTTCATGATCACTTCTATATCTAAATTCGTTCTAATGTCTAGGTTCTCATATGCTTTGATGTTCTACTTCGACAAGAATGTTGGTGTAAAAGATTTCCAAAACTCGTCCAGATATAAGCAATTAAACATTAAAAATTGAGAAAATTCCAAATATTTATCCATTAGTAATATGTTTTATATAATATTGTGTATTAGGATTACCTATTTCAATAAATATATTCTTCTTCTATGAATAATAACAAAAGCATTTGGTCTGTACATCTGAGAGAGTACTTAATTGAATGAAATGAAAATATTTTTGTATCTGTGAAGTCAGGCAACTTGATTGTAAAATTGTCAACTAAAGATTTACAAAACCGATATTGGTTAGTTATTGTAAGAAGTTCTGGAATTAGTTTTTCTTTGTCCAAACATTAACCTTCTACATGTTATGTCTTCATTGGCTAATTTACAATTTCCCAAAACTTTGCTTTCTTCATAACCAAAACAATTTACATGATTATACAAATCTATTCAGTAAAGCCGACAGAACAACATTGATTGTTCTTGTTTATCGGGATCAAAAGGTAATTCCGAAATTGTCAAAAATTTGTCCAACATATTCTGAGACGAAATCACAACATGACATTTGACTCACATTTTTTCCGGTGCTCTTCAACTTCAAAAGCACGATGCACTTTCGATGTTTACTTCTGATTTTCAATAGAATGCACGAGAAACTACTGAGCTCCAGGCCTTCATCGACCCTGAATTCTCAAACACTTTACATTGTTTGGAATAAATGTTTTATGGGGTGCTCAGATGGAGCAAATAACCCTCTCGACTCTGTAAACATAGCGTGGCACTTCGTCCGAGCAGTGAAAGCTTTCGGAGTCAAAGCTCATTGTGAGCTTTCGGCTTTGATTTCACTCGCGCAGGAGTTTCGCGCAAACCGAATGCTCTCCGATCGAAATATACACAGTGACGAAGAAACGGTTGGGAAAAACAGGGTAACAAAACGTCTGTTCACTTTTCAACCTTCCAGTTCCAAATTTATTCGCTTTTTCCAAATGAAGGGAAGTTAGCGGAGATGTATTCATTGAAACGTATGGAATAACGATGTATTGCACAAAAGCTTGATCAACCTTCCAAATTTCGATGAAAAATTTGTTGTTCCACCATGAAACCTCAACGATATGAATGATATTTTAAAAATCGACATACCTGCTATAAAAAAACAGAATTTCAGGAGAAATTGCCGATTTTTGAAAGGATCGCGACATCTGTTGACAAAATTCTTTGAAAGCAAATTCTTTTGGCTGCTATATATGTCGTATAATTAATTGTGACGTCAAGGTAATTCTTTCAGGCATTTCAAAATTTATGCAGTTTACTTTATTGCTGGAAAATTATGAATATTTATTTCAATATATTGTTATACAATTTTACATTGACTTTTGTTTGAAGGTGATTGACAATTTTTCATGATGAATTTCATTAGTTCGGACTTCCAGTTGTTTCAGGGATTTCAAATCATTTTATATATTAGACAATGGAAGTCCGAACTAGTGAAATTCACATTGACTGTTTATTTTTTTGTGCAAATGAAGTGTTTTCTGAACCCTGTTTCTCTGCGCCTCTGTTTCTAATTCCACAACGGATTAGTTTCAACAAAACAAACAGCTATGTATCTCACATATGTAAACTTGATTAGCTGCAATATCAATTGCCGAATGCATCCCAATCCGCACCGTAGCTTTCAAAATCCACTCGTTTCGGGTTCACGTTTCTGTTATTACTTTTTAATCAAATAATGACGCCGCACGGAGTACCAAACTTTCTTCCAACCAGAAAGTTTCAGTTTGCTACCAACTTAGGTGATTTATAAAGGAAGTTGACCTCTCACATGAAATATCAAGAACAGCGGAACCGTCAAAAAGTTTCACTCCGTCGAAGTTTAAACCGAAAGAAATGAACTAAGTATCAAGTCTTTCGAGAAAATATGACAAATGTGAGGGATGGTTTTCAGTTTTCTTTCAATTACTGGTTTCATATATATTTCAATGAAGCGAAGCCAGTGACAGTTTTTCAATTTATTTCGGAGTTTGAAGATCATATGCGGAAGTTCAGAGTTTGTTTTTCCAATGATGCGACGACACTAAAATGTTAGTTATTTAATGTGATTTATTTCCTTATTTTCCAGAAATCTGGTTTCTGCTCTTCCACAATTTTGTGGATATTCTGAAAGCAGGAAAGTTCTGACTGATTTCTGTCTCACTTGAGGGAGAGATGTTTTCACTAAGACATTTTTGCTGTAAAGGCTCTAGTAAACCAATGAAAAATGTTTGAACAGCTACGAGCATAATTGAGTGCTATGGTTTTAATGGTTTTGGATCGTGTTGCTACCTGTGGATCATAATACAAACTCCTTAGAAGTGTACCATATCCCAAATCCATTTTGAAAATGAGTAATAGTTCATTTCAGTGTATGTTTCTATTGAAACGTTCATTTTCTAAAGAAGTGGTGGTATTCCTCTATTCCCTTCTACTACTGAGGAATTCAATTATTAACTTAAGAATAAAATTGGTACAAAAAAGGCGAATCCATGCCTAACTTCAAAAATATGATGGAAAAGGATTTGCTGAAATGAAAAAATCACCATATATATACAAAATAAGGAGAAGATGCATAGGAAATTCGAAAAAAGTGAGAGACAAAAAGTTGATTAAATTGGGAAAAATTGAAACATTTTAGAGCTCATTTTGAAAACGTATAAAAATTTACTAAATGAACGTCGTAGACATCGTAGACGATGAAGTTGACATATTCATCCGTCTAAGTTTTTGGGGCTCATTGCCAGAATTTTCAATACTGAGAATAAAATATCGAAGAAACAAATAAAACACCTAATGAATACTTTATTATTTATTTCTATAACTACTATCTCTACTATTACAAGCCTGAGTTTACTACTAGTTTTCAGATATTCATCGATGTGATGCTCTATTTTGTATCTTCCAAATCTTCGCCATACCAGTGCTTATAAAGTTTCATGTTACAGATGATTCTTACTGACAAAAAGTAAATAATTTCTATGAGCGAAACTATGGAGAAACCTACGAATAATCCCAGCAAACCACCAATATTTGCTAGAAAGTCCAGATGACCATATAGTTCGTTTCTCATGTAAGGAATAAAACGGTTCGATTTGAAGTAAATGACCAACTGAGAGCTGGCCAACCTGCAAAAAAAAATAGTATTAATTTCAGTTACCCTGTATAATTTCTGAGCTATAAGAGCCTTACTACTAGCCAAGTAGAAGCAGCTGATATTATATCAAAGAAAAATTGAAAATATAATGTATTTTTCGTTAAGTAACAAGAATAAAAATAAAATAACCCTGTTTCTCTGCGCCTCTGTTTCTAATTCCACAACGGATTAGTTTCAACAAAACAAACAGCTATGTATCTCACATATGTAAACTTGATTAGCTGCAATATCAATTGCATCCCAATCCGCACCGTAGCTTTCAAAATCCACTCGGTTCGGGTTCACGTTTCTGNGAGTTGCTTCCGCATCCACCGTATCCACCAGACCTGGCACCCAGCGACTTATTCCTGTTCTCAGACCTCAAGAGAATGCTCACTGGAAAGAAATTCACACCGAGGCATAACCTTTCCAAAATGCCGATTTGTTATGTTTAAACATTTCCAAACACTGCTCAGAATCTTCCTCAACGGCAACTATATTGAATGATAAAATCAAATTTCATTATGTAAGCCTACGAACTTTTCAGACCAAGTGCTATATTCACTGCTTATGATTGGTGATTAAGGATTTTTCTGTAATTTTTCCGTTTTCATTTCAAAACTGATGAGATACATACGAAAGCGTTGAAGGGCCACACAAAAATATTTTTTTCGATTTGTATAATTCTGACTTAAAGCAGAAAGGGTGTATCTTTAAACCACTTTGGAACTACTAGAAATATTATAACTCATTCAATATGAGTTGCCCAAGAAATAATGTTTCAAATCATTTCTAGGACATCTCTCTATCTCACCTTTCATCTTTATCCGTATTTATTCCTATTGATTCGATTTCCTTATAGAGATCGAAATCAATTTCGGTTATTTCTGTGTTGTATTCTACCAGAGTACACATGGGCAGACAATCGCAATGGAGTACACCGAAATTCCGTATAGTGCTCTCTCCGTCGATTGAATGTCGTAGACCAGACATATCCAAGTAATCTGTGAAAAAATTGCAGGTGTTTAGGCAGGTCAACAATATGGAAGTTGTGTGTCCAATATGCAAAAAAATAACCACTTGAAACCATTCAAAGTAAGTCAACCCGCAGCTGTTTTCTAAAAATTTTTTGAGGCGCGTTTTCTTAAATTAGTGCCATGATGAATATGTAAATACTCGTATTTATTATACTGTGTGATAAATGAAGGAAGAGTTTTTCAAAGTTACACAAAAAACTGCATTTTTCGAATGAATATCAAGCAATATATATAAATTCTTTCCGCTTCAGAGGGTCTGATTTCAATTGAATTGAAAAAACAAAAATTAAAAAAAACCATCTTGAGCAAGATCTTGCGAAACACGTATTGCGATTTTGTGAACCTTTCATAGTGAAAATTAAAATAAATATTATTAGGCAGTTTCATTTACGATTTTGTTAATAAATAATTTGCCGATGTATAATATTTCTGCTTATTCAAGCTCAAAGATGAATAATGGTGAATATTTTAACACTGTTGTTGTTGAAAAATCCGGAAAAAAAGAAACACGAAAAACCTATGCGATTGCAGGTTTGCAGAAAGTTCTAGTGAATTACAGTAACCGCTGACTATCATATAATGACCATGGTCTTTGTTGGTAGCTACCTGCAGCTGCTACCTGCAGCTTCTGCTGCAGGTAGCAGATGGTTCTGTTGAACCATCGACACAAATACTTACTTTTGACATCCTTCATGCATTGTTTGTTTCCATTTCCACAGATCGGTATACCCCTTTCTCCTAAAAATAGTTTTCTTTACTGATTATAATGATAATAATGATTACTTTCATTTTTCAGTTAACAAATTATCTGTATAGGAATCGTCATAAAATTAGCGTCCAATTAATTACAGTCAAAACAATCACACAATCAGTCTTTGAGCAATAAATAAACTCTTGGTTAGTGTGGAGATTCTATATGTGCCTGGTAATATTAAATCAATTGGTCGATACGTGAAAGAATTTAGTCTAGATATCAGAACGCCACAATGAAATTTGCACACGTCTACCTGGGAGAGTGTGTTATCATTCACAGAGATTTCTATATTAGAGCAGTGTTTTTGTCTGTAGCCATTGCCACCTTCATTTGAATTCAAGAGAGATAAGTCGTCTGCATACACGACGTAATTGTACTTTATGTCATTGCAATATAGTATAAACAGTATGGGCCCCAATATCGACCCGTCGGGTACACCAACATGTCAAAATTTTCGCATCGGAAATAAATTCTGAGTAACTTTCATTAGGTATGTGTACCAAAGATACAATTTGGCGTCTATTTCTGATAAAAAATTCGATCCAATCCATATATCACCCCTTATTGCAGTGCTAAGGTCTCCTTTATACAGCCCTATTTTGTTCAGCTGATCTCTCGAAGGTCAGTGTCCAAAGAGGAGCCCTGTAATGATTCTGAGCAGATATTGATGCAGCTTTTCTGTGTGTGTTCCGGTGTATATTTTTACAGTCCCTTCAGGTTTCACGTGGACCTGTTTTCTGATCCTGTCCCATAGTTGAGATTTTGTAACCCCACGAGTGGTTAAGAGTGTACCTATATGTGGAGTTGATGATCCGTGTCTAGCATTCTCATCAGATTTTTCATTGTTTGCAGTTTCTGAGTGTCCTGGCACCCAGTATAGAGTCAATCTACTGCTAACCATCAATTTCTTCAGTTCTTCATTATATGATTGTAAGACCAGGAACACTGATCCCTGATAAAACAGGGAGCAATGTCAATTGCTCCCTGTTCAGTAAATTTCATCAGTTTTTGACATACTTTTTGATAACCTTTCCGAAAACTCTTCGCGGTTTGATGTTTTTATGGCTTTAACTCCAATTTTTCGGTTGTCGTTCAGACATCTTTGATGACATCTTGTCTTTAGGATATCCACTTTTCCAAATTCCACTTGTTGAGTCAAATAAAATCAATTGTGGCTAGCAGTTTCCAAAATCGATAGATACCGTCCAAAGCATAAGAGATTCATCCAGAATTTGTGAATTTTTAATTTACTATTCCTTGCAATGAAATAAGGTTCTTTTGTTTAGTATAGTTGATAAAATTTAAAAAACTTATTCTTTCTTCTTGAATGTACATCCCACTGGCTACGATTTCTGTAGACGTTCATCCAGCATGTGACATTAGGATAACCGATAACATGTGATGTTAGTACATGGATATGATGAACACTAGGTGGATGTGAAATGAATGGAGCGTAACACAAATCGATCCTGACAGGGACATCCTGGTCTTTGATGATGTCAGCACGGGGGTCGTTTAATTTGTTGCATAATCAACTGACAGCTCAGCTCATTACATTGCACAGAGATAAATGGATATTGCAGATTCTGCCGGTATTCAAGCCAAATTTCGTGATTGCTAGAATCCAATGGCTGATAGTTGTTAGTACTTGAAACAATCGAAGTGGGTCGTCGATTAAATCGAATGAATGAATGAAAATTGATTTGTAACCACATAGTTACTTGAGAGCTCGCTACAAAACTGCTACTGATGTACTGTGTTCGACTGTAAAGGATGAATTGTTTGAAATGAGTCACGTAGAAAAGCCTTAGTTTATACTCAAAATATTTACCAAAATCTTACTTTCACTCTCTCACTGAATGCTGTTACTTTTCTCCAATTGTATTTTGTGACGTAAAGCTTGTGAAATCTAGGAAGCGACTTCAAAGTCTCGGTTTAGGACCTCCCCTAAAATGCGCGTTAGTTAGGAGACTGTGTGAGAGACAGATAGATGGAAGTCTCAAGTCTCTTTCTAGTTTTAACAAGCTGTAACAGCACCGATTTTGATAAACTTTCTTCCAGTATTCCGTGAAAACAATCTATCAATCAAAGATCTTACTTTGAGATTTGAACTCTGTCGTTAAAGTGATCAAACCCGAATTGTACAGACAAAAATGTACAGATGATAAGCAGACTTTTTTTTAGATACACACAATAAGAAAAAACCTCGAGAAACTACTACTTTTGTTTAGAAACAACTGCTTTACTTTAAAACCTGTGTGTTTTGGAAGTTTCAACTTACTTGGCATGTAGAAGGCAACGCAACCACACAGGTGCAGTGTGTGATTAGCGAGACACTCTAGTTTACAATTGAACTGAGTGTAATTCTGGAAAAATTTCAAGTCTTTTTCGCCTTGGAGGTAGCATTCCCGTTTCGTAGAGCTGTAATATTTGACATCTTCGGACGTAAGCAGTTGTGACGCCGAAATAGCTACTATCACCGATTTTCCCAAAGGCACCCGGAAATAATGTTGCTGGACAGTTGGAAAACGTATGGCTTTGTGCAGAACTACCTGCAACGAACAATAAATAAAACTTTCGGCGAGTGGTCAGTTTTTGGTAACTATCATTTTAACGGCTCACTTTAGTTGTTCAAAAAATATGTAGACTTGCGTATTTTTGTCTGCTGACAACGAATCTGAAGAAACTCTACAAAGTTTCAGAACATTAGAGACTATTCTACGGTATTTCACAACATTCCAGAACATTCTTTTAGGTTGTGAATGTTCGATAATACTCTGAAACGTTCTGGAAAATCTCGAAACATCCCAGATTATTGAAAAAGTATCAAGAAAGTTATGAGATAGCTCTTCATCCATCATTGCCCTCTAGAAAGTTGCAGAACAGCCCACACACACCACACCACATTGGAGGTTGCTCACAGGGTACCACAAGGATCTGTGATAGGACCCATTGTATTTATTATTTTCATCAATGGCACCACTGTTCTTCAATTTGATAAAAACTTTATAAGACATTTTGCATTTTCACAAAGTATCAATATCAATTGGTAACGATGGTTTCTAGTTCACTAATTCAAATTGGCTCTGAATTTGAAAATATGATGATGAGCTTTACATTTCTTAAAAGTTTCTCGACCAATATGTGACTTTAAATATATGTTTGAATGTAAATATGACTTTCGACCTGTGTGAACACCAATATTCTCCAGATATTCAAATGCTCGCCAGGTAACTACTACTTTCCTTGCTGATATCATGACAAACATTTCATTAAATCACTGTGTTCCTCAAAAAAACCTACACAAGGTCATTTTTGGGTAGATCTCTATTCTTCTGCTTTTTATTTTTCTGCAGAAACCTGAGGTAGAGAGTTTCATATGTTTTATGGAGAACCTTGAAATAACATGAAAAATATATCATTCACCTGATATCCCTGGAAGCTGGTACATGCATAATCGAGGTCAGCTTTTTCGACTTCCATATTCACGATAAGGGCATTGGAGGAACCAGCAAGAAGAGCTCTTCTTGGATAGGTGTTGATTCCTGCATTTTCACTGTACCCATAATCGACGGTCCAATGTGGAAATGCATGATTGAGATTTTTGTTGACAGCTGGTAAATGTCTGAAAACAAAAAACAGATTGATATAAAAAATGTAGAGAAGGGCGCAATAAAAAAAACTTTCTCTCCCAAAAATTAAAAATCAACCTGTCCTGAAAAATTTACACAAAAAAACAGAAGTTTAGATATTTTGAATTTGGAACTGTATATCATCCGTCATCTGATTTATACACTAAATGAACAAGTTCTTCAAAATGTAGTGAATGAAATACTTACACCACATTTCGATAAACAAGTCGGTCATCTAGCATATTGAAGGTCATGCAAAGACCTTCATCTGTGACAATTGGTCTGAAAATCTTGAGGCAATCATGGTTTTCACTCATCCAAGAACAATTTTTAAGGAATCCAACACTTGCCTGAAATATTAACATATCTAGAATCAACTGAACAACAAACGAGTTCAAGAGGGGCGATGACATCTCCTCCTACAAAGACGCCATCTATGGGATCGACGGAGAACTGAATCTCCATCTGGTTTATGCAATGATTCATTCACTTGAATTTGAGCCTACAGCTAGCAATTTCATTTTATTTCATTGCATATTGACTTACAAATAGTTACCGTTTGTTATTTATGAGAGATTATTAATAAAAAGAATTAGTCAACATCAAAAATCAAGCTAGTAGTGACCACTTCTCTAGAATATCAAACTTTTTCTCTATGACTTATATCAAGAATATTTCAAAATGAGTTTCATAGGTGAACAGTATCCCAAATGACACTAAAATCATAGCAAGAAGCAGCCTTAAATGTCATTAAACATTTTTTTAAATATTTTTTCAGTTTCGAATAGTTTGAAAATCAGGTGGTTAAAAATATAAAAAACTTCTGTCGATGTCCCGAATTCAACCAAAATCAAAATGCTTCGCTCAAAAATTTTGTACATCTCATTCAGATTTTCATTGTATTTCATTTCTTCTTGCAAAGAGGAAGAAAGAGGAAAGGGAACCCAATAAATAGAAACTATTACTCATTTCAATAAAAAGTTACTCCTTTGAATGATTCAGCGATAAACTCACATTTCCCAAAAATCTGTAAAAATCCTCGTCGATAGTACTTATATTCGGTATGTATTTGGAGAAACGTTTTCCTTCTCCACATAACATAGACATGTACTGCAAGTTCTTCAGTCTGAAATTCAAATAATATCAATTTTCCTCATGTTATCGGAAATTACCTTTCTTGAATCGAATGACTTACTCCAAAGAATCAAGTTTTTTTTCATCCACAATATGCTTCTTCATGACATCAGAAAAGTTGAAATATCTCCTCGTGCTTTTCACTTCGTTGCAAATAGTAACTGCGGGAAAGGGAATTTCATAAATATTGGTTTCTCCGGAGTCGAAATTTACTATGACCGGACTAGTCTGCCACTTCCTGTATGTTTGGTAAATAACAGCAATACACAAGATCATACTTGTAATGAATATTATAATCCAGAGTATCCTGCAACGAAAATGCGCCAAATTAATCACCATCATTGATATATCACCACTTATATCGAGTTTCTTTTAGGCATGGAGTTTTATCCCTACACCAAACCATTATTTTTAACAGTTCGACACGTGTTTTGATCACTAAGTGATCATCTTCAAGAGGAAGATAAAACTAAACAGTTTAGTTCAATCTTCCTCTTGAAGATGACCACTTGGTGATCGAAACACGTGTCGAGGTGTTAAAATAATGGTTTGGTGTTGGGTCCAGTAATATTCAGTACTACAGCAAATATTCCAAACAGAGCATCACAAGTACATAAAGAAGTGATTATTACATTCAATTAACAAAATATTATAAAAAATGAAGGAAATGTAAAGAGGGGATGGGGAGCTTAAACCACTAGCTCTCATTGTTGAGAATAAGCAATTAAAGACTTCTGTCAAGGCTACTTTCCAGGTTTCCTGGCCATGGTCTGGCATTGGCAATTAAAGAAAGAACCATAAAAACTTACTTCTCGAACAAGCTCCGTCTCTCACCGAAATATTTGAATCCGTGTATTCCCGTATTGTCGTAGTATTCCCAACAGTAAGAGTTCAGATTGGTTGAAAATTTTTCGAAATCAGCACGTCTGTTTCTTTTATCAACAACAGAATCATCACCTGTGGAGATGAATGCATTATCCAGAGACCCCATCACAAACACGATTGCGACTTGTGTTAACACGTGCCCATCCTTTTATTCTACTAGCTGCTGGAATTCAGTTTGCTGAATGTAAACAGATCGATATATCCATTCAATTTTACACTGGTCTAAGCTGAAAATGTTAGGTGAATGTTTTGATATCATTACCGTATTACATCACTACATGACAGCACGAGATTTGGTAGTGAAATATGGCGATGTTTATTCCAAAAAATATCCTGTGAAACTGGGAGTCCTCTAGGGATCAGTACTGGGACCACTTCTTTTCACGATTTCCATTAACGACCTCCTATACAAATAAAGGCTCACATGAATATGTATGCTCACCTACAATTACAATATACATATAATAATGATATTGTCGAATTGGAGACTGAAGTAACTGGAGTTGTTGAGGAATTTGGATCGTAGTGTCAACGTAATTCATTAATACTTAATGTAGATAAGACAATGGCTATGAATTTCTATCTCCGACGCCTAATTATAAGATTGATTTTTAAATTAGGATATTTGGATAGTTGTAGACCAAAAACTCAAACAAAATATTATACTTGAATACCTGAATGATCCAGTGTAATATGTTTACAAGGTTTTTACAAGGAGTTCCTGTAAATGATTTATTCATATTTGTTGTGTGTATTTTTGAAAATTCCATATGTGACTTGTATAGTATTTATTTTATCATATTTACAACTATGTATGACATGCCATATGTACTATCTGTACCTGCGCTTTGCAGCGAGGTAGATCACTTCGACCATTGCCGCAGTAGCAGACGAAACGTTAGGTAAAAAAACCTGCAGACCACGGCTAATAAAGCCAAATTTCGGTGAATGGCGGCGATCCCCGTAAAATGAATGAAAACATAAATGAAACAATTGTAAAAAAACACTAATGACTGTTCTCCATAGTTAAGAGCATGTTTCATTTAAGAGCAGTGTATAACTAGATGTCGTTTACAAGTGCTGCTAATTCATATAAAAACTTATTACCTCATCAATCTAACTCCACGTCTTGAAGACTGATTCCAATGTCAAGCAGTCAATTATCTACTTTCCAAACAAACATTTGACGTCTACCTCCATACTTGTGTGGCAGCTCAGGATATGATCCATCATCTGAATTACTGAACATTATGTACCTAGTATATATGTTGTTTATCGGAAAACTGCATTTTCAACATCGAGACAAATCGTATTAATGGATTATACTTCATCAGAAAGAAGATTATTGCCATAAATCTATAGATATATTTAACCGCTTCCTAAAGATAAGATATTGGGCAACACAATCCAAAGCTTGATTACAAACATGGATTGAGTGGTATCTTAGCAAAATAGTGTTTGTTATATTCAGCAAGAGAATAAAATACGAACTGAAAACCCTAACTACAAATGAGATGAATTAAAAAGTCGTTTGAACTGATATATTGTTGAAGTTTCTCACATTTTCAGGTAGACTGTTGAATATTTTTTGTCCTAAGTATTCGTAGCTTGTTTCGAAAGTATCGACTTTCTTTGGAAAGCTTTTTTTAATCGATGCAAAATCGTTTTCTATTATATTTTTCAAATTATCCAGTCTATTCTTTCTTCAGTTTATTCTCAGGAAACAATTTCCTAGCCTAGCACAGTTCTTTGAGGTACACCAGATAATATTATTTTTTCTCTGCTAGTTATATTTTGTATTTTTATTTTCTGTTGTCAGTGAATCAAATGTCAAAGGCCTCTGCTAGGTCTGAGAAAAGGGAAAATAAACCAACCAATAAATATTGAAACTACTTTACTCAAACCAAAACGAAAATACTGAGCAAAAGTATTTTCCATGGATTCATTTTATGCCAGAGATTCCAAATTCTGCTTATCAAAAACAAATGTGCTTTAGCATCTTAGGCTCAATCATAATACTATCAATATGTTTTTTTTTCATAGATGTTGCCAGTAAAGTAACCTAACTTTGCCTTATGAGTCCAGTTTTGAAGAAGTTTTTCATATCAATACTCTGTAATATTTTATTACATCCATCAATCAAATAGTTCGAAGAACTGTTTCATCAGTAATTCTGAATAGCAGTAGAAACGGTTGAAACATTTTCATTCTCATATTCTTGATATAAAAACAGTATTTTATGAAGATCGATTCCATTGTCTATACCTCTGAAGAACTTCTGAAATGTTGATTAACTTTGAAGAGAAAATAAATACCCAGTTTGAGACATTATTAATATTCTGAAACCTGTCAAGTGGAAAAATAATGAATAGGTGAAAGAGTGTTTCTTCACTTCACAGGCCGTGAGTTAACTTCCTACGAAATTTAGAAACAATTTTAAAGTTCCATCCTACGAAAAATTCATCTGTATTATTAACGAAGTAGTCTAAAACTTCCAGAAAACATAATTAAAAGCTGTTTTCAAGCATAGTAAATTGGATTCAGTACAGTAATTTGAAAATCCTAATGAAGGGATAAGTTTTTCATGAAAAATGCCTTTGGATTCTCCCTATCAGGAATTCTTTTTGTCTTGAATTAGTATGTATTTTTATTTTTATTTTTATTTTAGGTTACTGTTCGTGACAAACCCATTGCGCCAATAAATATGTTTAGAATTTCAACCTAAATACATATACAGAAAACTGCAATGTGATAGAAAACCTTTCAATTAATATAAATCGATGTCTACCTCGTTTTTCACAAAAAGTGGATTTATCGGCTTTTGTGTGATTGCTCCTCCGTTGATGTAATATTTTATGTAATGAAACAGTTCATATGAAAATGTAAGGCCTAACTTGCTTTGTTCAGCAAGGAGCTAGGTGCCAAAGATTCAGATTCACATTTAAGACCCAGTATCTGAAACATTCTTCAAAATTCTGGATAGACTGTTCAACTTAGATACTGAGTTCCCAATAATATAGGTATCACAATTTTTAATTATTCTTCGTCAATAATCCAACTGATTTTATCTTCTGGCTTCTTTTGATAACAGTCAGACTAGAAAGTTCATATGCTAACATAGACATATTTTTATATAAAATTTGACTTTATTATTCAAAATAGTTGCCTTCGGAGGCGATAAAAATAACTTTTTGATAACCTTTCCGAAAACTCTTCGCGGTTTGATGTTTTTATGGCTTTAACTCCAATTTTTTGGTTGTCGTTCAGGCATCTTTGGTGACATCTTGTCTTTAGGATATCCACTTTTCCAAATTCCACTTTTTGAGTCAAATAAAATCAATTGTGGCTAGCAGTTTCCAAAATCGATAGATACCGTCCAAAGCATAAGAGATTCATCCAGAATTTGTGAATTTTTAATTTACTATTCCTTGCAATGAAATAAGGTTCTTTTGTTTAGTATAGTTGATAAAATTTAAAAAACTTATTCTTTCTTCTTGAATGTACATCCCACTGGCTACGATTTCTGTAGACGTTCATCCAGCATGTGACATTAGGATAACCGATAACATGTGATGTTAGTACATGGATATGATGAACACTAGGTGGATGTGAAATGAATGGAGCGTAACACAAATCGATCCTGACAGGGACATCCTGGTCTTTGATGATGTCAGCACGGGGGTCGTTTAATTTGTTGCATAATCAACTGACAGCTCAGCTCATTACATTGCACAGAGATAAATGGATATTGCAGATTCTGCCGGTATTCAAGCCAAATTTCGTGATTGCTAGAATCCAATGGCTGATAGTTGTTAGTACTTGAAACCATTGAATTGGGCCGTCTGTTGAATTGAATGAATGGATGAAAATTGATTTGTAACCACATAGTGACTTAAGAGCTCGCTACAAAACTGCTACTGATGTACTGTGTTGAACTGTAAAGGATAAATTGTTTGAAATGAGTCACGTAGAGTCGCCTTAGACTATACTCAAAATGTTTATCAAATTCTTACTTTTGCCCTTTAACTGAAGGCTATTGCTTTTCTCCAACTGTATTTTGCGTCGCAAAGCTTGTCAAATCTAGTAAGCGACTTCAAAGTCTCGGCTTAGGACCTCCTTTAAGATGCGTGTTCGTTAGGAGAGTGTGTGTATATGAGAGAGAGAGAGAGAAATAGAATTCTCAAATCTCTTTTTAGTTCTAACAAGCTGTACCAGCACCGCTCTTGGTGAAATTCCCCCAACTTTTCTTCGACTTTTCAGACTATCAATATTGCAAGTGATGTTCGCGTCTCCAATCAGGCGGATAGCTTTTTTCTGGATAGAATCCAACAGCTTCAGGGTATGTTAGGGGCGGAGCTCTATAATATGAGAACAATATTCCAAAAAAGGTCTGATCTGAGTTTCATGAAACATCAAGAGTTGCTGAGGTGTATACAGTTTTCTGGTTCTCTATTCCAAGCATTCGAGAAGCAGCCTTTGCACTTTCAGCGACATGATTGTTTTCAAGCCTTTTCTGTAATTAAGTTCTGTATCTGTTGATAATGAAGTCATTATTATTATCACCGGAAATCTCTTGAAGAATCTAAGTTTGGATGAATGAAAAATCCATACTAAGTTGATCAGAAGTTTGGAAAAAAAATCTCGCACTCACAAAATTGGGATGGAAGTGAGCTATTAGCAAGGCTAAAGTGGAAATTCGTAAAAATGCGAAAATGGATAGACGTAGATGTTTGAATATCATTTTATTTTTGAAAAAAATAGACGTAAATTACGCCGCAAATTTTATTTCTGTTATATTTAAAATAGAAAATGGAACATATTTGAGAGAGGAAGTGAAAAATGCCTGTAACTTGAGGCAGGAAGTTTGACAATCCTGATAGTAAATTGATGTGATTCAATGTTAGGAAAAGAATATTCCCACTTTTACAATAGCTAAACATTTAACACATAATTTTTTTGCACAATCGTTCGACAAAAAATCTTGATAGCGCACCGGTTGAAGTCAATTAGCAAATTAAGTATTATTTCAACTCTATCTCCTTTAAAATTTATAAATATGCAAAAAAAAAGTGAAAAACTTCCGATAGAAGAAAAAAAGCAATCAAATTCAAAATTATTTCTCAACAAAGATGTATAGATCATACA